GACCTGGTGTCTTGCTGAGTTGAGCTTTAAAAATTTAAAAACAGCATGTCTCTTGCCGTAGCCTGGACAATCCAGGGCTGTCCTTTAAGGGTTAAATATTTAGCCAGCTTTGGATGTCTGGCAGAGAAGGTTTGGGCAAAGCCACTAGAACAATGCTCATTCAAAAAGCTGAAGTCAGCAGTGAAGGGTTAGAGAAGTGGAGTCGCTTTCTGATGAGATTTCAGAACCAGGTTGAAGGCTGGTGGCACTGTCCCCATTTTACAACCAGGCCCGAGAAGTGGATGACAAGGTCAGCAGAATTTCAGAGCCAAGAATAGATCCCTCTGCAAGTCCATCGCCACAGTAACTCACTCCCAGGTCTGAAGAATGCCTTCCTCTGGGGAAATACCACTTCTGGAAACGGTCTCATGCCTTTGTCTCCTTTGTCCCAGCAATTATTTACTTGGGGTCAGGTAATGATGGGTTTGACAGCAAAGCAGAGAAGGATGCTGTGGTGATTCAAAAATTTTTATATTGCAGAGAATATAGATATATATGTATATATAATGAAATATGCCATTTTCACAATTTCAATATGCAGTCCAGTGGCATTTAGTATATTCGTAGTGTTATGCAATCATCACTACTGTATTTCCAAACCTTTTTTATCACCCCACATATAAACTCTGTAACCATTAAGCAGTAACTCTTCATTCCCTGTCCCCTCTAACCCCTGGTAAACTCTCTTCTACTCTCTCTCTGTGAATTCTATTCTAGATCGTTCATACTAAGTGGAATCATACAATATTTGTCCCTTTGTTTCTGGGTTATTTCACTCAGCATAATGTTTTTAAGATTCATTGATGTAACATGTACCAGAACTTCATTCCTTTCTTCTGACGGAATAATATTCCATTGTATGGATAGACCACATTTTGTTTTTCCACCCATCCGGTGATGGACACTTGGGTTGTTTCTACCTTTTGGTCACAGTGAAGAATGCTTTGATGAGCACTGGTGTATAAGGATCTGAATCCTTGTATGCAGCTATTTTGGGTAGGAATTGCTGGATAGTATGGTAATTTTATGTTTGACTTTTGAGGAACTGCAAATTGTTTCCCACAGTGGCTTTACCATTTTACATCCCCATCAGCATTGTAGAGGGCTCCAATATCAGCATCCTCACCAGTGCTGTTGTTTTCCATTTTGGTGGTGATAGCTATCCTAGTAGGTATGGAGCGGTAACTCATTATGGCTTAATTTGCATTTTCCTAATGACTAGTGATACTGAGCATCCTTTCATTTGTTATTATTCATTTGTATGACTTCTTTGGAGAAATGTCTATCAAATCCTTTGCCCTTGTTAAAATTGTGTTGCTTGTCTTTTTTGTTGTTGAGTTTTAGTTCTTTTTATATTCTGTGTATAAAATTTAGTTCTTTTTATATTCTGTCATATGTGTGATTTGCAAATATTTTTTTCCATTCTGCAGGTTGTCTTTNCCTGTGTATTGAACCCTTGTCATATGTGTGATTTGCAAATATTTTTTTCCATTCTGCAGGTTGTCTTTTCCCTTTCTTGATAATACCCTTTGATGCACAGAAGCTTTAAATTTTAATGAAGTCCAGTTTACCTATTTTTTCTTTTGTTGCTTGTGCTTTGGTTTCACATCTAAGACTCTATTACCAAACCCAAGGCCATGAAGATTACCTGTAGTTTTCTTCTAAGAGTTTTATGGTTCTTATATTTAGGTTGTTGATTGATCCATTTTGAGTTTATTTCTATATGTGGTGTGAGATAGGAGGCCAACTTCATTCTTCTGCATTTGCAAATCCAGTTATACCAGCATATATATATTTTTTAAATCCTCGCCTGAAGATATTTTTTCCATTGATTTTTTTTTACAGAGAGTGGAAGGGAGGGAGGGAGAGAGAGAGAGAAACACCAATATGAGAGAAACATCCATTGGTTGTCTCCTGTATGCACCCCATCCGGGCCCAGGGATTGAACCTACAACCTAGGTATGTGCTCTGACTGGGACTTGAACCCGAGACCTTCTCGTGCACAGGATGACTCTCTAGCCCACTGAGCCACACCGGCGGGGCCAAGCATCATTCTCATTGAGTGGACTTTGCACTCTTGTCAAAAATCAGTTGGCTATAGGATATGAGTTCATTTCTTGATTCTCAATTCTAGTCTGTTGGTCTTACCTGTTCTTAAGCCAGTACCACACCCATTTGACTACTATAGTTTATTGTAGATTCTGAAATTAGGAGATACGGGTGCCTGATTTGTTCTTTCTCAAGATCGTTTCGGCTATTCAGAGCCTCGCCCAGACTCAGGCTACGCCGTTCTGGGGGCCCTCAGGTTCTCCTCCTAGATGCCCTTCTGAGTAACTTACTTCTTGACGGTTGCTCCCAGCCTGTGGCACTGGGGTCTCAGTGCTTGGCGGGCCTCAGAGGCGCTCCTAGCCAGCATCCCCCTCAGTGCCCGGGTTTCTGTGGCTCCTCTGACAGGGTTCACCAGCTTCTGTTTAAACACTCAGATAGCTCTGGCTGGTGTTCCCAGTGGTTAGGGCATCAGCCCATGCACCACAGAAGGGTTGAGGGTTCGATTCCTGGTCAAGGGCATGTACCTGAGTTGCAGATTAGATCCCTGGGCCCTGGTTGGGGCCCCTGCAGGAGCAACCAATCGATGTGTCCCTCTCAGATCTGTGTTTCTCCCTGTCTCTTTTCCACTCTCTCTAAAAAAAAATCAATGGAAAATATATCCTCAGGTGAAAACAAACAAAAAAACAACAACACTTCAGACAGAATCCTTCCCAACAGCAAGCTTCCTGTTGTAATAGAACTTGCTTTCCATTCTGGGAAGTGAAGATTACGCTCCCAGAGATGAGACTGGACCCTTGGGCGCAGCAGTTAACAAATGCAGTTCGAGGGCTGCAGGCTCCCCCAGCCCCACCCTGACCCTGTAGTTTCGGGCCACACTCGGGCCAAGTCCCCAGTCCCCAGATCACTTATTGCTGATCTGTTCTGGTGTGGAGGAGTGGGTGGGCTGGGCATGGCACATCAGTCTTCTTAGGAGGGGGCTGTGGGTGGCAGGGGAGTGATCCTGTGGGGGGTGGATGTAGGGAGTGCTATTTGGCTGCCTGCTCGGACAGCATGGAGCTCCCCCAGGCCCGCCAGCTGTTGCTACAGCCATCCTGTGCTGGTGTGAGCTGTCCTCTGCAAATATGACCCACTTTCAGGCTACCCAAGGCCCTGGCAGTTCCCTGCCCCCACTGCATTCCTCCCCTCTGGCTGCCACCCTGTCCCACCCCATAGCCACTGGAGCAGTGTCCCTGGGTTGAGAAAGGGTCTGTTATCTGCAGGTGGCTCTGGGGAGTTGGCCAGCATGGCTGCCTCGGTGAGAAGAGCTAAGGGGGAAGGGTCGATCAGCGCCAGGGCCTCCCTCTGCTGAGGGCTGGGAATTATGTCCCACTCTGGGCACCACACGTTACAAATACTTTTTCTTATTAGCAAAAGTAATGTATGTTCTTCGCAGAAAATTTAGAAAATAGAAATCAGCACAAGGGCAAGAATGCAAATTAACCACAATTTCAGCTCCCAGAGAGAGCCATTCTTACCCTCTTTTTGTAATCTGCTTTTTTCACATAATAGTTTTTCATATGACTAAAATATTCTTGTATATTATCTCATCATTTTAATAACTATATAATATTTCATTGCTGATGACAGTATTAAGAAGGAAAGATTTTTTCTTAGCATTTACCGTATGTGTCAGGCACTGACTCTTTGTAACTTGAGGTCGATACTCTTATTAGTATCCCAATTACGCAAATAAAGAGAGTGAGGCACAGAGAAGCTGAGTAACTTGCTCAAGGTAACAAAGCAATAAATGGCAGAGCCCAGTTCATCTGGCTCTAGCACCCTTATTTCCACACTCTCCTGCTTGTCAAACCACGGACATGCCATAGTTTATTTATCATTTCCCCTAGTGATGGCTGTTTAGGTGGTTTCTAGCTTTCTACCAATATAAACAATATTCTGATGAACATTTGTGTGACTCCAATATTATAATTATCCTTGATTATTTACTTAGTATCTACTCCCAGCAATGGAATTTATGGAACAAAGGGCATAAGCATTTTTGAGACTTTTTGATGTGTTTCCAGCTGTCCTTCAGAAGGATGTTATCAAGTCCACTCAGCAGCAGGATAGGACTGGGCCCAACAGTAAGAGGAAGCCTGATCCACTGAAGCCTGAGCATGGTGGGGGAGACAGAACAGAGCAGTGAGTGGAAACAGTTCCATAAGGTACAACTAAGGGGACTGGAGTTATTTACCCTAGAGAAAACTTGGAGTGTTGGAGGGGTGAGGACCACTGCCATGGCTGTAATCGGACACGTGGAGGCTGTCGAGTGGAAGCGTCCCCCAGGCCTCGGAGCAGAGGCGGACCAGTGGGCTGAATCTGAAGCTGTTGTCCTGTTCGGGGCCAGCACACGGCCTTGGACAGGCAGGATGGGTGTTGGGTAAACGTTACACCGCCCGCTGCCATCACTGGCTTGGGTTCGTGTGGGGCGTGCCTGTGGGGGGGGGCTGGTACCACCCATGCCACACTGCTCCCCCACAAAACATTACGTCTCCGAATCTTAACTGGGGGATCTGCTCCCCAGCCCACCCCTTCCTCGAGGAGCCTGGCCCGGCCTGGTACCTCTCCCCGTCTGTTCCCTTGGAGCCTGAGCAGCACAGCCTGGCTTGTGTCATGGGCCGAACAACTCCTCCATTATGCATGAGGGGGACCCAGCAGTGAGCGAGTGAGCAAGCCCGAGTGTGGGGGGCGAGTGGTTATTAATAAACGGGTGTATTGTGTGGAGTTCCATTCACAGCACTCTCAGAGGACCTGGTGGGCTCGAGATAATAAAGCCCTGTTTATGCCACGGAGGGCTGGGGAGGTGGCAGGCGGGCGTGGCAGGGAGCTAGGAAACCAGGGACTATTTCGATTCCACTTCTGGCAGGGCTGCTGTGTTTGCTCTGAGGTCAGCATCCAAGGGGTTTGGCTCAGGCCCACATCTGTCTGCTGGATGGCCCGGGGTCTCAGAAACGCCTAGCTTTCCATCCACACTCGTCCCCATGGAGGGAGACTGAGAAGACGCTGGATGAACTGGACCACGACTCCATCAGGAGAGAGGTAGGGATGCTCAACTCTATCCTATTTCCTGACCTCCTGTCCCTCCCCCATCCCCCTTTCCAGGTGAGCCTTTCCGCTTTGGCTTTCAATGGCTCTGACGGGGCATGTGCTAGATTGTGCGTAATTTCCTGACGATGCTGGAATTGATAAGGTCTGCAAGAAGCTTCCTAGCCAGGGAGTGGCCCTGGTTGGTGTTAGGATCTGGAATGTGAAGCCAGCAGGCTAGAAGGCAGAGAAGCGGTTACAGTGAATGAGCTGAAATTTAAAAGAGAGGCAGGGGACAAGGCTCCAAGCCTGGATGTGGGTGGGCAGGGGAGCTCTGGTCTGAGGCACGAAGGTGTCTGGGAAAGGGAGATGCCGAAGAGCATCTGGCAGAGGGAGAACTCAAGGCCGTGTATCTCATTGCAAAGGCCTCGCTGACTCTGTCTTGCTCACATTAAGGCTGTGCTTCTCCCTTTCTCTCCTTCAGCCCTTTGCTGTGGTCTCCAACATCACTAACCAGCCCTCTCTCCAGCCTAGCCTGGCCCTCTCAGTCTATATATCTCTGGATCTCCGGCTAGGAATTTAGAGCTTTGGGTTGGGAAGAAATAAGAAGAGGTGATTTTGCTCTCAGCTGGATGGATGATTTTGCTCTAGAAGGATGAAGAGCAGGTCCTGGTTCAGGGGGTCTTTGCTCTCTGTTACTTAGTGCTGAGCCAGAGCAAGGAGAAAGCCAGGGCCCAGGTAGGCCTTGGTCACCTGGCTCCATCAGGAACTGATGCTCCCTGCTTTGACCTTTGCAAGTGGCTCTGGCCCAGCGCTACCCTGAGTTAGGACCCTTACATCTCGAGACAGCTCTAAGATGTGTGCAGATTTGGCCGTGAGTTGGGAGGGAAAAGAAGGCCAGTGGTCGGGACAGTCTGTCCTGCCCTCCTTATGGGTACAGGGCTTCCTGTGGCTGGGGTTTGGACCCAGTGACTTTAAACTTTTGTTTGGATTGAAGATTCAGTTACCCTACTTAACCCAGGAAGGCTTGAGGCTGTATTAGAGCCAGAATGGGCTGATTCTAGGTTATTGGAGGAACATTGCATCCTTGGCTCAAACCAGAAGAGGAAATCTCCCCAAGGCAAGCCAGAACTCCCCACCCCCACCCCGGACAGAGTGTCAGGCTGCTCCTACACCCCTGTGCCCAGAGCAAACAGTGCAGCTTCCTTGGGCACAAGCATCCCGGCACTGCCCACCCTGGCCTGTCCCCAGCTGTGGGGTGAGGGGGAGGCCCTGCAAACAGTGTATCCCCCTCCTTGGGTCCCCCACTATTAGAGATTCTGTGGACACTCCCTCCCCACCCCCTGCCTCCCACAGTCTGAAAGCAGTGACTATTCTTAGAAGCATCTGCGTGTTCCTAAGAGCACTGTGTCTGCGATGTATTTGCTGGGCTGGATGCTCTTCTACTTACTTAGTGAGAGCTGGCGGAACAGCTGGAGGTGGGGGTGGGGGTATATGTGGTCAACCCAACCATCTCAGCCCGCCGGGCACCTGGCCTGGGGGATGACCCAGCATCTTCCACCATGCTTTTCGGGGGATCCTACTGGCTCTGTTTTATGGTTGTCAGTTGTTGTAGCGGGGTCTTCCTCACAGGGGCAGGCAGGTTGAGTCATGCTGTGGACACTCCCTTCTCTGAGGCTGTAGGCTCATGGTAGACCAGGAGGAAGGTGCCTTCCCAGCGATGGGAGCACCAACCCCACCACTGTAACAGTGGTGACTGTTCATTCAGAGGTTGCTCTGGGACAGGCACTGGTCTGAGCAGTTGACGTCGGTCCTCTCACGTAAACCTCCCGACAATCTATGCTACCCTCCTTCTAGAGTCTATAAAACTGAGACCGAGGAAGTCCCACCGCAATGTTAGCGACTGAGCCAGGTGCCCATCCGGCCCCGGAGCCTAATCTCTGCGAGCGCTTATGTCGTATTGCCTCCCAGTAGAAGGCCACAGCGCGCATTGTTCTGGTGGCCACAGGAAGGAGTGGGGTCAAATGCAAAGAAAGACATCCCAGCAGTGAGAGGGCTCGTCTTCCTTGGGGACCTTTAAGAAGCATCTAATTCTTTCTGTAGGCTGGACTCCAGGTGGATAACCACCACTTGAGGGATTTCCTCTCAGTGGCCTGTCCATGGAAGGTGCTGGACCATCAGCAGTAACACACAGCAGCTTCTGGGCCCACCGAGTGCTCGGATTTAGGGTGTGGGAAAAGGCCAGGAGGCTGGAGAATTCCCCAGAATGGGCGAGGGAGCCAGAGGGAAACCACACTGGGAGCTCTGGAGCGGCCTGTGGGTTAATGGGGTTTTGTTTCCTCCCTCCTGTCAGATGCGCCTCCTTCACCCAGAAAGAAGTCCTCAGCCTCAGGGAAGAATGTGCTGGGGGCTGTGTGTGTGTGCTCCTGTGTGTGTGTGTGTGTGTGTGTGTGCTCGCGTGTGCCGCGTGTGCAGACTCCTCTCCCTTCACTTGCTGCAGTGATGTGTGGGTGCAGCCCGCAGGTGGTGGTGGAATGTCAGACACATGGGTGCAGAGCCAGGTTGCCTGGGTGCCAGTCCCAGTTCCACCCCTAGCTCGGTGACTCCCAGTTTCCTTGTCTGTCCGGTGTGATGTTAATAGCGCCTGCCTCTTGGACTTTGTGAAAATAAATAAACTCACTCATGAAATCATTCAGCACAGGAGGAAGAGAGGAAGATCCCTCTACCCAGGGCCTGTGGCCATTTCGGTCTCTGTGCCACCCCCACCCCAGACTGTCTTACACTGGGGCCCAGGCCTTCATGCGCCCAGTGCCCGTAGTTCTGTCTCCTGCTGCTCGCCCGGGTTCAGGTTAAACACCCCGGCAATCCCCCCCGCTTCCTGCTGCCACCCCCATTCGCCCCCACAGCAGCCAGTGCGAGGGAGATGCTCAAGGTCCAGGTCTTTGCTCCCTGGCTGCCTTCTGGCTTATGCCTCATTTCTGATGTCACGGGTCTTCCTCACAGCTCAGCTGGTGCCCAGCTCGTTGGGGGCCTGGGTATCAAATCATGGCTTATTCCACCCCCTTCCTGCCCCGTGACAGGCTCCCCGGGGCCCTGCCTCCAGCTCTTCCATTTCCAACCCACCCCCCTCCCTCTGGCTCATGGTCCTGGCTGCACCTGCCCCAGAGCCTTCCCTTTCTCTGCCAGCACCCTCTCCCTTCCCACCTCTGCCTTGTTCCCGGTCTGCACACCATACAGCTCATACATCTCAGGGAGCTGGGGACACTTTGCATGCCTAGAGCAAACATCTGTTGACATTTAGAAATACTTAGAAGCCCATATTTTTATTCCTGTGTGAACACAGCATATTCTCTGGTATTGGAAACTGAAAGGTGATGAAGGCAGCCACACACACAATCCCTTTTAAAAAGTAGAGGTGATCTTCCACTTAGCTCTAGATTGGGCAGGGTCAGAGTGAGGGGGCTAAGTGGAGGAGGATGGCACATGCTTTCTGGCTGTCCCCACTCACCGCATTGTGCTCTGGATATATGTCTTCATTCAGTCCCTTTCATAGCCTGATGAGGCAGACACCACCGTCCCCAGTCTGTCTGTCACTGAAGGCAGTGACTTGCCTAAGGTCACACAGTGATCAAGTGGGAGAGTCAGAATTTGAGTGCAGCTTCTAGAAGAAGAAGGGTTGGAGAGGGGACGCTAACGAAGACACACCTGACTGTTGATTACCCTGGAGCTGGGTTTCTGACTCGGAGCAAATCTAAATGCCCTGTTCATGTGCCTTCTCCCCATGTCTCCATCCCTTGGCTGTGGGCCTCTCTGCAGGGAAGAGGGCAGACCCTGGCCTCCGTTCCTCTCTTGTCAGCCTCCAGGTTAGACCAGGAGGGTGGTGACTCCGAAGAAGCCACATGTGCTTGAAAATAGAGCATGTGGAAGAAGGGAAAGAAAAACAATAAGGAATCTGGAAGTGCCTGAATGATACATGATTAGCAAGTCAGAGTACCTCACTTCCCTAAAAGTAAGCTGTGAGGGAACATTGTGCAGAGTTTTTGCAGATTGTCCAGGAGGCCGAAGGGCTGGAAACCTGCACAGGCCATGGAAACCACTGCTTCACAGGCTCTGGCCTCTTCTCAGAGCACCCCCCTCCCCATGGCCCTCAGGTCCCCTGCCGAGGGCTCTTTGTCAGGAGGACATAAGTGGCAATGGTAGGTACCTGCCACCCTGGTCCCCCGTCCACAAATCCCCAACTAAGACAGGATCTATTAACTAGTTCTGAGGGAACATTCGGAGCTCTAACCTCCATCAGCCAGAGTCAAGGTCTGATGGGGTCTTTGTTTGGCTACCTCAGAAATTCTAGGGTTGGTGGGAGAGGTGAAGGCGGGAGGGGCCTGCAGGCCTCTTGGATTCAGCATAGAATCTCGGGGTAATATGGTCATCTGGGATGTACACCATCCTTCCTGAACCTGTACAGTCTGCTTCTTAAATTACCACTAAAGCATGTGACTCTTATCCGAGCTCTTCGGGTTTTTGTTTTTTAACTTTTAAAATCTACTGTATGGAGGTGTAATTTACATTCAGTAACATGCTCGTTTTAAGGGTGTAGTCAGCTGAGTTTTGACAAGTGTATGCGCCCATGTAACCCCCCACTCCAGTCAAGACGTAGAATGTTTCATCGCCCTTAATATTCCCTCATTCCACCTGAGTCAGTCTCCCCAGGCCTGTCCCCAGGCAGCGCGAGCAGCTTCTGTCATGGCAGGTTGGTTTGCCTGTTCTGGATACCCCTGTGTGCACTGTGGTCCGTGGGGTCCCTTCTGGGGTCCCTCGGGAGAGTGAGAGTTACTTGGGACTCACATCTCTGTACCCTTCAGCCTCCTATCCCCGGTCTGTGGACCTGACATTCCAGGGTCTGTGGCAGGAAAAGCCTCCCCCTGCCTCAGCAGTCAGTCCAGGGAAACAGTAGAGAGAGGGGATTTGTGGGAGTTTGAGCCTGTGGAGGATGACTCTCAACCTAGAGATGGATGTGG